GAATACCTATCGCTTCGCGAGTCTTCTAATAAGATGAAAGGAGAGGAACTGGAAGCTTAGCAACCCAAACACAGGCAGCTGCAGGTAGGAACGTAACTCCTTTCTGAGTTTCATTGGACTGAGTATACTCGACCGGATCGATGACCCTCTTCCGTCTTCCTTCGCTATGCGTTGTGACTTATTCCATATCAACAATGCAGGTGCGGCTTGTATCGCAGCGTCGGAGACGACTATTATGCGTCCATGTGGCAACTCCGGATGCAATGAGTTGATCAAATTCCACTAGACCTATCACATACTGGCTTGAGGGAATAATTGAAGGTCATTTTGCCATTTATACCGCAGAATTGGAAGCGCTCGGTGCCTTTCAAATGACCTGAGAAGCCTCAATGGGTAGCATACTTATCACTGCTCACTTAGATGGGCCTGCCTGATCGTGTCACGCGACGCACTATTTAATGGTGTACTCTTCCCTCCTTTCCAAACATCAGACACATTTCAGGACTCGAGTCCACCATCATGTTCAGTTCCAACTGGAGTAGCAAGTTATGTATATACGAAGTTCTGACCCAAAGTAGGAAGACTGCATGAACGTCTTTCATGTTAAGATGTGCTTACTTCTCCATTGCACAGACTTGAGTGTCCATCTTACCTGCTGCCTTCGGTGTGTTTCCCTCTGAATACTGATCATGGACAACCTTGGTGGAGTCTCGCGCATGCATCACCCATACCTGTTGGCGTCGCCTTTCACGCAGGCGGAATCTTCGCTGGCTGTAAAGCCCCTGCTATGGTTCCCGACCATCTTCCAATTGGTGAGGTCCGATAGCTCCGACCTCATTGTGTCAAAGTAAGATTTGACAGCTTGCTCCTAAGCACGATTTATATAGTTGGCTCACAACTGCGTCTTGCCGTGTAGAAACGAGGTTTGAAACATGGTGAGTGTCTTGTTCCAAGAAAGCTTCGTCACAATGAAAAGAGTGGTTGCCTAAACTGACTGGAGATCACCGCAATAGGTGCTTGATGTCTGGAATGGATCTTCTGAAAGGCTTCAAAGCACGCCACACACACTTGATCAGACGATGAAAATGTTGTCGACGATTTTCCATCCTTCGCTAGTATTCCGCAGGACCCTGTATCATCCCCGTCTGGATGGTATTCTACAGAAGTATGACATGAGAAGTTTTTTAATAATCATGGGCCTGCCCCCGTCCACAGTTCACACCGTACGCAAGACATCGCATGTCTGATAGGCAACAGCACACATGTGCATGTGAAGTCATCAGACTGGAGGAGCGGCAAACATTTTTCTTGAAGAATTCCAGACTTAATCTATGATATAGCTGCTTAAATATGTTGCGATAGATTGGTGCCATCCCACAACGTTGTTTGTGATTGGCTTCACATAAAGGTCCTCTATTTTGACTGTGACGTCTCAGGGTTTCTCGAAACAGCAAATTGAGCATTCCTCTGCAGTTGGTACTGCCTCGGTTCGCCGCTATTTCAGACACCAAGAGTCAGTTCGCGAGGTGGTACACTTGGCAAACTCGCCATACTATAGCATATAGTTTCGTCTCGTCCACGGCTCTTTTGCTTTGTAGTCCATATATGAATTTGAATAAGACGCAGACAATTGTGGAAGCATGCCTGTGGTCACCAGAGTTGAAGGTAGGTGCCGAGAGCTGCCCAGCAGAAAGGGTTCAGATCTGCATGGAACGAAACGTCGCGACCCTCTCTGAGGAACTTAGAAACGAATTACGAGGAGTAGCGTTGATGTTATCGCTTCGAGAATCCAAGATCTAGGCGTCCCCATGATTCCCTTATGCTTCTCTAGTTCAGAAGTATATGGGAAGATGTGGAGGCGCTTCCGATACATTGCTTGCTGTCAGCGCATCGTTGCCTAAGTACTGATTAAAGGCCCGCGCAGCACGGTCTTTCTCTGACAAGAGCCATCGCATGCTTGAAAACCTATATAAGAAGCACTTCTACTATCTAGCTGCTCTTCTATCGCCGGATTATCCGTGCTGAAGTATTCGGTAGTCGAGGCAGTGAAAGCAAGATTCTTTTCATGGGAGGTCTTGGGAGGACCTCCTACTGTTTTCACCTGATATGTGGCGAGGTGTCAGCCAAGTACTCAACGTCCGACGTAAGGCGGAATTCTTGTCTCGTTCGGCAGTCCACTCCCCTCGTAAGCAACTCCTTCAGCACCTTAAACGTCTTTGTCATAGCCATGGCCCATCATATTGTGCAGGGCGCACAGCTGGTGGTATCATGCCAGCTGAGAACATCAGCACATATTGGATGATGGGATGAAATTGTGGTATTGATCTCCAAAGTTCGGCATGGTGGTCGCTTCTGGTGTGTTCAAGCTTTCCGAATGGCAGGGGTGAGCTTGGTTGTCAGCTCCGTCCCATAGATAGAAACACAGTCTCCTCAACTTCGTTGGAAGCGAGAGCGATCCGGCTTCCGAGAGTCATTACTGTGGATGACTTGCATGAAAAAGTCAAACGTGTCGCACGTGCTACTGCCCACTCATCACCACCCAGACCTCACGATGCGAGATTTTTAGCTTCGACACGCTTTCAAATTTAATGAAGCGTGCGTCCGCCTGTCAGGAATTCGTGCGGACAGATGCCAGTAACCTATTCACCTCTCGACACCTACAACATAATACGTACATAAATGAAGCTCCTCGAAATTCTCGTGATGACGGCTTTGGCGCTGACAGCGTCGGCCACTCCCGTCGGTAAGCTTCATCAGTTTCCCAATGAGTTGCGCGTGGATGGAAAGAGGTCATCATAGTTTTTGAAAAAGCCACATAGATGCAAAATTCCGACTACTAGAACCTCTCTGACCAGAACTGTAGACCTACAACTCGAAACATCTTTGGTACCCAGGGCTGAGATATGCCAGTGGTTCGGCGAAGCCCCATTCTGCGATGCAAAATGTCCCGACGGATGGAAAAAGGAGGGGCAAGATGATAAAGGAGGAGGTCATTCTTGCGTGACTGGAAAGAAGTTCTTCTGTTGCTTCAAGACCGACGGCAATGGAAATAGCAGTGGGAAGCAAGCGGCGTGAGGGCGCATTCAGTGGACGTTGAGTCGCTATCTACTTCAATCTATTTCGGCTATTTCGCACTTCGTCTTGAGTCTGTCGAGGGTAAACTATGTTGCAGCTCCTTTGTCCACTGTAGTCGAGAGGTCAGTCCCAGAGACAGCAGGTGGTCAACTTCCACCCACCGACGCGGATTTTGTGCCTCCGATTAGTGTGCGGCAATGCATACTCCTCCAGTCTGAAACCAATGGACATATTTCGATGCGTCACATTTTAAGCATGAAAGACTTCGATAGTCCTCAAATCATTCAATCGCAGAACCACGTCGTAGTTAGATGAGCCCGAGGCTCTGGAAAGCTACTGCCAACTCATGTACAGACTCAACAGGAGACCATCTCAACCAAAGTCTTGGCATCAGGAAAAATGCACGACATATTCATCCCAGAATCACTAAAATTGCACAGTAGCAAATGTGGTGGGGGTTTGTGTCATCCCGCGCGAAATTCTGGCTGACATGCTTGTTTTCTCATTCAAACAGACACCAGGAAGTCATGATACTTCGAGAAAATCTGAGACGGGACACGCCAAGCGCATATCTCATCATCCTCTAATGTCAAAATTATCACTGTGAGGGACCCAAGTGATGGATCCCGCATCCACCGGAGCACAAGTACGGCAGTTTGTTCAAGTCCATTACATAGTACAGAGCAAGATGTGAGAACCATGAACCTGGAGCTGGTACTGTACCCCTTTTCAAGGTTTCATCAGTTCGTCGAGCCGAGTCTTATGACAAGGTCTACCACGTCTGTCCCATGTCTGAACGAAGTTGACAGGTTCTTGGTGAAACAACATTAGTTCTCGCGATATCGTTTCCCAAGACGTCACTACCCCTTAAGGTTACGTAGGCTGGCGGTGCACCGCACGGGATGCAATAGATACCCCGGCATCTAATCTTGGCGCATGCCATTTATTTAACCCGCTTGGGGTCTTCCCGACCTCTGAATCGGTGGTAGCTCTGCGGGGCGATCTCGGAGGACAGGGTCATCGTCAAATTACCTAGTCCGGCTTTCACGATGCCGCTTCTCGATTTGCTTGATATGTATGTCCTTCAGCTGCCTCTCAGTATCTTTTGAAAAGTGACCAGCTAGCATCTTGCCGTAGACGAATGCTAACCATTTTGAGCACTGAGATTTCCGATCAAGGGCACAGACACTTTTCGAAGAAAAAGTTGTTGAAGTATTCCAAGCGAAGCCATCAAGACGAAGCTGTTCGGCCAGTTTCAAAATTCCTGCTTTTGTGGCCAGGGGTTGAAGGGCATTTTACTCCGCCACGTGCTTGCGGACCTGATAAGCCCGTTTCCGCACCCGAACGCCGGCCCGGCATGCCACCATACTGCGATTGGACATGAGTCGCACGATCCAGCTCACACGAGTCAGACAACGAACGCTTCCACCCGTTGCACAATCGGAGGATAGCGTCGAGCCCAGGGTATCCCACCGGCGCGTTATTAAATATTCGTTACACCTTGCCGCGATCCCACTCTGAATGTTTATACACTCCACCGCACATTTCAATATTTCTTCACTGCCGCGTGGCCGAGTACACAACTCAGATTTCGCGCATAAAGTCGCGATGATATTCTAATTTTCAATAATGGACGCTGAGGGGCCGCTCAGACAGTCGTGGAGTGATGCCCAGAAAAGGTCCCTTCTGGCCGGAATATGCGATCATTCCGTCCAAGTATCCGCTGCGGGTTTACGATAGTCTCTCACGTAGGCATATTGCCACTCTGCCGTTTGATCGGGAGGCCTGGGAAAGTCAGGGAGGTTAGCTCAAAGTGCACAAATATATTTGAGACGCCCTAGAACGAACGCCAGTATGTTCTAGGCTCCTCATCCGCCCGCCAAACTCTCTCTTTGTCTGTCGATCGCAGACGTCCATTCTTTACAATGCTCCAGCAACTTGCCGTTCTCGCCTCGGCCCTGGGCCTTTGCCATGCGACAACGCAGATCGTCACCGGCGCCACTCTTTTCGTCGGAGACGCTTCCCCCATCGTGAACACCTCCTATGCCCAGTTTCAGGGCAAGAACGACGACAACACCGGAACCTCAAACTATCTGGGTAAGATCTGCTCCCCGGCTCCTCTCGACCCCGCATGCTAATTGTGATACTTTCTAGGCATTTCGTATGCCACAGCAGCCCGGTTCAACCACTCGGTACTGGCCGAGACCTCCGTCTCCGGCGTGCAGAATGTCTCAGAGTACGGCGTCGTCTGCCCGCAGCATGAGCTCCCCTCATCTATCGACCCGTCCGTGCTGCCACTAGGCAGCTTGTCTGGCGTTCTCGTTGCTGCTCTGTCGCAGTCCACCCTCGAGCAGGGCGAAGACTGCCTCTCGATCAACATCCATGTGCCGCAGAACACCAGCAGCACTGCCGGCCTGCCTGTTCTCCTGTGGATCCACGGCGGTGGCTTCGAGGCGGGTGCAGGAGGTTCGCTGCTGGAGGCCGATGTCGAGAACCCGGGAGTGATCTACCAGGCCACCAACATTGTCGAGCGCAGTGTCGCTATGGGCCAGCCCATCATTGTGGCCTCTATCAACTACCGCTTGAACCACTTTGGCTTCAGTGCCTCTGAGGAATTGGCGGCTGCTGGCCTGCTCAACCTGGGTTTCGAAGACCAGAGGAACGCTCTCCGCTGGCTGAACAAGCACATCGGTTCCTTCGGCGGAGACGCTGACAAGGTCACCATCTGGGGCGAGAGCGCGGGCAGTTGGTCAGTTGCCGCTCATCTCGTGGCCAACGGCGGCGATAACGAGGGACTTTTCCGGGCCGCCGTTGGCAGCTCGGGTGGACCGTTGAAGGTTGATGGCCCCGAGAGGCAGCAGAGCACCTTTGACTCCCTTGTCAGCTACGTCGGTTGCAGTAGCGCCACAGACGTGATTGCCTGTCTGCGGGAGGCCGAGTACAGCGAGATCTACGCACACATGCAGACTGTGCCGTACTTCCTAGGCTACAACAGCTTGGCCTCATCTTGGACGATCCGTCCTGACGGCGATGTCTTCACTGACAGCCCTGACAAGCTTGTCAGTGCGGGTGCTATTGCTGATGTCCCTCTGCTTTGGGGGTAAGTTGTGGTTCCAAGTCATCTATGTAATCGATACTAAGTACTTCCACAGTGACATGCGCGACGAAGGCACTCTGTTCTCTCTGATCAACGCCGCCAACACCACCACCGACGACGATGTTATGGATTACTTCCTCAAGACCTGGTGGCCCAACGCTACCGAGGCCCAGCTTGAGCAGATCCTGACTCTGTATCCCGACAACCAGACGGCCGGCTCGCCTTTTGGCACTGGCGACAACAACGCCCTGTACACCCAGTTCAAGCGTATCTCTGCCATCACCGGCGACTACAGCTTTGAATCCCAGCGTCGCCAGCTGATGGGCGCCGCTCCGGGCAACAAGTGGAACTACCTTATCGAGCAAGCTCTGCCCGCATCCGTTTTGGCCGGCACGGCGACCTTGGGAGAAATTACCGAGGCTGACTACGCGGACTCTGATGCGTTGGAAGCGGTCCCATACCTAGGCAGCTTCCACGCCAGCGATGTGGTGCTCAACTTCTTCGGTGCACTGCCCAGCAACAACTCGCGCCATCTGATGGGCACCCTGATTTCGTTTGTAAACAACTTGGACCCCAACAAGCATGACATGACCGATGTGCCCACTTGGCCGCAGTATGACTCGTCTAGCAAGTCAACGATGCTGTGGAGCGAGAGTGGCGCTGATGTTGTGGCTGACGATTATCGCGAGGAGGCCATCGCCTATCTGAACGAGATTGGCGATTCCCTGCGCATTTAAAATGATGTGAAGGGGTTATTTTCAGCGTGCGAAACTTCTTGTAGATATCTTTAATCAATGACAAACTCATGATTCTCTTCAACTTTTTGGTTCCGGAAGGGCCCGGCGATTTCTTCGCAGGAATCTAACCTGATCACGATCACTGTAACCTGAGGTGGTATTGAATTCATCGTACGACGATCCCGAGTCATTACATCACATCAGATGGTCAGATCACATCGAATGTGAGAAACAATTAACGCTGAGTCTATTTTCCGTCTACGGCATACTGCCAATCATCATGTAAATAGAAAAGTTACACTAGTATACACTTTTTGTGAGGGTGATAGATCGACTCCGCCCCTCTTTACTCCGAACGGCCAGCTTACAAGTCCGTCACCTTCTGGACCTTGGCAACAAACTCCCCGATTCTCGTGGCCACAACCTGCGCACTCTCCTCCCAGCCGATAATGGCACCCATCAACAGCGTGTCGTGGACGGCGTGCTCCTCGTAGGACACCTCCAAGTTGCCTCCAGCCTCCTGCATCTGCCGGCACCATGCAGTGCCGTCCGTCTCAAGGATCTCCGCCTCGCCCATAGTAACGAAGACGGGGACCTGAGTCTTCCAAGGGTTGTCAAGAGGGGTGACGTAAGGCAGGGTCTCCTCAGCCACACCGGACGAGTACACCTTGGCGCCCCAGCGAAGGAATGAGACGGGCAGGTAGTCGGTGCTCCAGTGCTCGTGTTGCTTGTACACCGAGTCCGGTCCCAAGCTGGCAAGCGGGTTGACCCACGGAGCGATGAGGATGGCGCAACTCGGGGCGGAGATCCCAAGGTCCCGGCCAAAGGTGTCGAGGTAGCGGAGCAGACCGATCACCAAGTTGCCGCCGGCACTGTCGCCGCAGAGCACAATACGCTGAGAAGGGATGCCGAGAGTCTGGGTAAGGTACAAATAGCTGGTGATAACGTCCTGCAGGGCGGCGGGGAACGGGTTAGCGGCGGAACCCGCGCTACCATAGCCGGACAGACGGTACTGCGGCGCGAAGACGGCGTCAACGCCGGCTTTGTCGATCAGCATGTTAGCCATGAAGCCGCAGTAGCCTGTGCGGCCATCGCCCAGGACGAAGGCGCCACCGTGAATCTGCAGGACCACGACGCCGCCAAAGCCTTTTTCAACATCAGGCTTTTCGGGGAACCACGTGCCGCCGACGGTGGTAGGCTTGACATCGGGGTTCGAGGCCAGAGGTCCACGGTAGTGCTCTGATGAGAATGGCTCAGCGGTCTGGAAACGATCGCCTTCTTTGCCCGGCTTGAGGGTGTGTGTCTCGGTGATTCCCACGTTTGAGTACAGGTCAACAATGTTGCGTGTAAGACGTGCCATGAGAGCCTGCTTGAAGCCCCATTTTGGGTGAGGGCGGCATGCCGGAATCGCGGCCTGGACACACCAGACGGGAAGACAGAAGAGGAGGATAAAGAGGCCACCGAAAAGCTGGTAGAATATGCGTAGAGGCTGGTATGAAAGAATCGGGAAGCTTTCGCCTTTGGTGCCGGCCATCTTGAAGGATCGCGATGTGGCTACCGCGAAAAATTCGGTGTGTATGTCTTGGGTAACGTATCGGAATTTTTCTAGAAGTGAAGGAATGTCGATGCGAATATGGCGATCACCAGGGTCACAAAAGGGGAAACCTCCTGAAAAGGCTCATCAAAAGGAACAAGTGGAAAGGGTAGCCGCTTATCACCTACAGCGGCAGATCGTGTCACAAACGGGACTCGCTTTTCCTATTCCGATCTCAGGAGGCAGCTCTGCGGAGACTTTGCAACGCTGTGAAAAGTTCTGCTTGAGTCTCATTTCCGCGGGCGGTGATGGGATGTTCGTTCTCCTGACTTCGCGGCTGCATTCCGGCATCTAGGTTCGAGTCTTTGGGATCGACACATCCACCTCGTCGTCTGTCAACCCCGCCCCGATGCCGTTCTTGTCAGAGCACAATCTCGGCCAAACAGCTCCTGTACGAAAACCTGGAGTTTTCGGACCGCTTGATAGGACAAAATTTGGCGTCTGTGGACTCTTGGGGTTCGGAATGGAGTCTAGTAGTATGTAGAGTGGATGTCACATGACTCGCATTTGTACGCTTGCCAAGCCAATGCCCCTGCGCCGGCATGTAGTCGATTCTTCACCGGCAAGCAGGGATTCTGATGCCGGCACAGATGATGGGTGGGTACGGTTCATGGGCTAGAACGGGAAGGCTTTTCGTGGTTGGATCTGATCGCTGAACCAATGGCACGGTTACGTCTTTACATGACATGTCACTTACACTTACACCCGGCACTACGATGAATCTCTTGAAACGTCTTCCCTGCACCGTCGTCTCCACGAATGCCACCTTAGGACTCAGGAACAACTCCCGGCCGGCCGGATCAGGAACCGTTCAGACCACAAACACTGCAGGATCTGCCGTATTCTGATGGTTCTACGCATTCTGTGACCATTCTGTCAGTCAGCGGGATGTGGAGATAGTGGTTATTAACTTGGTTCTCCCCCACCAAACGAGCAGACTCTCTCCTCTTTTGCTTTCTTGCTGCTGTTTTGTGACGCACGACAACTGTCGGGTTATATCGTGTTTTTGTTGACTGGCTGCGGCTCGGGTCAGCCTGGATATACAGACAACATGGCTTCGACAACGACAACAACGCCGACGACAGCGTCCAACGACCATACGGACACTGCCATCATCGTTATCAACATCGTCCTCGCTGTGATAGCGACCGTTACATGCGCCGGACGGTTCTGGGCACGAAAGCTCACGGGCGTAGGATGGGGCCTTGACGACTGGCTGGCGCTGGCCAGTTTGATAGTAAATCACGCGTTCTGTGCCATCACGGTCGAGGCGACGGTCAATGGCGGTCTGGGTCGGAGCATCGTGGTGGTGATGGCTGAGAACCCGATGCAGTTGATCACGTTTCTCAAGGTTCGCGGCTGGATTCCCGATGGACGCGGGGGACTCTGACTGGATGCTAACGATTTTGTAGTGTGTCGTCGCAGCTGAGTTCTGCTACGGCTTCTCCTCGCCTTTGATCAAACTTTCTCTGCTGGCCTTCTACTGGCGCGTGTTCCCCACGCCATTCATGAAGAAGGGTATCTACGTTTTGTCAGCGGCTTGCATCGGCTGGGGCGTCGCCATCTTCATCACCAACTGCTTGCAGTGCCGTCCGCTGTCGTACACATGGGAGCAGACAACCAACCCGGGCGCCGGAACCTGCATCGACTTGATTCTGTACTTCGTGGGCAACTCCATCGCCAACAGTCTCATCGACATCTTGACCTTGGTGCTGCCGATTCACGAGACCATGAAGCTGCAGGTCAGCTCGAGCAAGAGAGTGGGCATCTGCTGCGTTTTCGCACTTGGCAGTCTGTGAGTAGACTCCAGAGGAACTGAACCATGGCATGATACTAACGAAGCATTCAAAACAGCGTCGTTATCGCCAGTTTTGTCCGCTTCGGATCTCTGGCTTCTCTTTACTCCATCGGTGTGACGGACATGACCCGTAAGGAGACCCGTTTCTCTTCATTCTTCGGACCGGTTTGCTGACTCTTCTGAACAGAGCAATACGCTCTCATGTGGACTGCCACCGTCGTGGAGATCTACGTCGCCATCATCGGCGCCTGTGCAGTTACTCTCGTGCCCGTCTACCGCAAAATGCGTTACGGCACTCCCTGGTCAACTCGCGACCAGAAGTCCAACCAGATTTCGTCGAACCCTGCATTCGCTGGCACTGGCGGCGCCGGTGGTTCGCGGCCTGGAGTCCACCACAACTTCAAGCGCTCCGCAAACCACGAACGCCTGAGCACAGGCAACGATTCGGAGGAGTACCTGCACCACGGCTCTGGCATGAGGTACTCAGTATCTGGAGCAAAAAGCCCCAAGCGGGAAGAGGCGAGCGACGATGTGCCCATGGACACGATTGTGGTCCAGAGGGATGTTACTTGGGAGGAGGAGCGAAAGGTGCGGCAGCACGTTTAGGGGGATAACTACACCATATAATCATTGTATTTATACTTTACGTTCACATGCTGTCATGACGAACGCTAGATCCGAACTCGTCCATGTTCCACGAGTAAGTTTGGTTAGATACTAGCTTGCGGGAGTTTCAGCTCAGCAACGATTACTCCTCCATAAGGAAGGAGGAATTCCAACATAATTAACCCTCCAAAGTGTTTATCCCCAGCCCGGGGCTCTGTTTCCACGTGGTCCGAGGCACGGGCGCGTCCTTTCCCCCGAGTGAGTCCGAAACTAGCGAACCCCGTTTGCTGTCGATGTCGAAATCCTGGTCTTGGGTGCCCACTCTCGACGAAATACGACCAGGTGTCGAAATGATTGCCACGTTTATGACCCTTGGTCAAGGGGCCTTGGCGGCCGATCGCTACCGGATACTTCCATTTGAGCTCAGACATGACTAGCTGTGCATGCCAGAATCTCAACGCTATGCTCAAGTGGAAGTAAAAGGGTCTTCCCACGGAAGACATTCCGTCCTGTGACAGCTTCTTTGGCACGTTGATTGACGATCATGATTGACTTGAGAGGGTCCGGAGCGCCCGGCACAGTCGGTGAATAGATGTCCAGATGACATGCTTTGAGACTATCGATTGTACACCTGTCCAAGCATCTGAAAGGTTAGCGTACTACTTGCGGGGCTTGGCTATATGGGAAGCCCCGCAAGAACCGCACTAACCTTTCAGATGCTGGGACAGGTGTACCCCTTGGCGCAGAGAGTTCCCTCTAATCGTATATGTAGCAACATCACTCTTGGCTGAGTAGAGCCTCACTTCCTTGCTTCCATCTCTGCATCATTGTATCCAACTGGCGAGTTGAGACATCAACTCCCAATTACACTCCTTAACAATTTCTTTACACAATTAATTAATATGGCATCTAAGTGGGCGGGCCTTGCAGCCCTACTCGCGGCCTCAAACTCCGCTCTCGCCGTTGCGAAGCCAATTTCCGCCCGTGATGCGTTGAGCCCCAAGGTGGAGATTGACTACGCCAACATCACTGGCCGGATCAATGGCAACATCAAAGAGTTCCTAGGTGTGTTGCAACGGGACCTGAACACGCATGCTGAATATCCCAGACGGATAAACTGACATTTCTAAGGCATTCCTTTCGCCTCAGCTGGCCGCTTCGAGCACTCTCAGCTCTACACCGAGCAATTGGGCGAGTTCGATGGTAGCAGCTACGGTCCCATCTGCCCGCAGAAGACGACGGGCTCCATCCTGTCCATGAACTCGTCCAGCAGTCTCATCTTGGGCAAGACCGGCACGGCAATCGGCCCCATCGTTGGTGCCCTGGCCGACACAGTTTTCAACACCATCGGACAGACCCGCAGTGAGGACTGCCTTCTGATCAATGTGCAAGCGCCTGTCGACGCTAAGAAGGGAGATAAGCTGCCCGTGGTGATCTGGATTCATGGTGGCGGATATGAGGTCGGCAGCCCCTTTACTGCTACCAGTGAGACGGATGTGATCCGCGGTGCCGTGCCGAACTACAACATCGGTGGACTGGTGCGCACCTCTGTCAGCCTCAACCAGCCTATCATTGGTGTTTCGGCCAACTACCGCCTCAACGCCTTCGGGTTTTCCGCGTCCAAGGAGATGGAGGAGGCCGGACTTTTAAACCTCGGTCAGTATGAGAAGGCTATGGTATTTACAGTCTGCTAACGATGCATCCATAGGCCTCGAAGATCAAAGAGTTGCTATGCAATGGGTCCAGAAGCATATTGCCGATTTTGGTGGTGACCCGGACCAGGTGGTCATCATGGGCGAGTCGGCTGGTAGCTGGTCCGTCGTCGCGCATCTGCTGTGGGATGAGGGAGAGGGCGCCACTGATCTTTTCCGCGGGGCGATGGCCCTGTCTGGTGGCCCTGTCATGGTTGAAAATGCCGAGCGTGCTCAGCCTTTCTTCGATAACATGGTCGACAGAACAGGATGCACCAACGCCACCGACAAGATTGCCTGCTTGAAGGTCGCTGACTTTGACGACATCATGGCTTCCGTGAACGACGAGGGCATGCGTAAGTAACCTTTCACATTTACAAACTGAAAACATTCGGCTGACTCTGATGCCTGATTAGTTCTCGGACCCCGATCCCTGGCGTCGACTTGGACCATTCGTCCCGACGGCAAGCATCTCAAGGACTCTCCCCACCGCCTGGCTGCTGCTGGCAAGATGGCTTCCGTTCCCCTGGTCACTGGCGACATGCGTGATGAGGGAACCCTTTTCTCTCTCCTCGCTCAGCTCGAGACCCTGACGGATGAGGACTTCGCAAAGTACTTCAAGGACATCTGGTGGCCCAAGGCCTCCGATGCTGAGATGGCCAAGCTCATGGAGCTCTACCCAGCGGATATCACCCAGGGCTCCCCCTTCGACTCGGGCGTTCTCAATGCCGTGACCCCCAACTTCAAGCGTCTGGCCGCAGTGGTGGGCGACTTCAGCTTCCAGGCGCAGCGCCGCAACCTGCTGGCACACTACAACACCTCTGAGCAGACTGTCTGGAACTACGTCACTGATGTCAGCATTCCTTCCGCCGGTCTGCTGCCTGATCTGGGCGTCTTGACTCACCTGCCTGTTCTCGGCTCGTTCCATGCCTTTGATGTCTGGTTCTATATGTTTGCAGGCTTGCCGTACGGCCTTAGCAAGAACACCAATGCTTACCAGGCTACCGCCATCTCCTTTATCCGCACCCTGAGCCCCAACAACCACGGTTTGGATCTTGCCGATTGGCCGAGATACTCTGAGGAGGGACTGGAGACCTACAACTTCAAGGAGAGCGGTCCGGAAGTTGTTAAGGATGACTACCGCGTGGAGGCCATGCAGTTCTTCAACGACCACCCTGATTCTTTCTTGATTTAAGTATGCCTGTAAAGGTGATACTCCCGAGTAATAGTAGTCAGCTTCGCAGACAGTCACTAGCAAAAATTGATCCAGCCATAGAATGCTGCCCTAATTCGAAAGTCGCATTGGTGCTCATCGCTCAGTGAGGTCCTAACAAGACCAACGTATTGGATGCCATCCGTGGTGACATGCCACACAGCAAACGCCAGTATTCAATGGTCTTTCATTAATGTTTAGACCTCTTTTCAAAGCTCCCCAAGCCTTGACTGGCAAGCAATACTCCTTCCTCTTTGATGATGGTATCGGCTCCACCAGGTCCGCATGAGACTTGTCTGTTGCGCCACGGAATAAAAGCTATTTGCAAGTCAGACGCGATCGGTGGACCCATAGGTACGACCGATTCTTCTAGCAACGCGACTTCACAAGTGAATGTTTAGACCAGCTCCACTTCCCATGCAGGGCGACGAAGACTTCTTATTACGTATGTCATTGAAATAGATACAGGCCTCCAGGTACGCAATATGATACGAACTTCCAAATGAGAAAGACGTCCAGAGGTTTGTCCCCTTACTCAAAGAACTTAAAGCTGTACCCCGTGTTACTTGTATCTCCCGGCACGTTCGCTCGAGTGTAAGCGGTGTTACTCCACCAGACATAGCTGCCGGTAAACCAATCACGATTATCCCAGCTGTAAGTTGTACCCTTCTCCACACCGTGAAACACGAACGGAATGCGGCTCGTGCCCCCAGGGCTATCGTTGACGTCGCCATTGGGAAGTGCGAATGTGTGATGTCCAGGTCCATCGATGTAGAGGGTCGCATCCCAACCGTTCATCATTCTGTCCTGATGAGAACCGAACAGGCAACCGTTGGACTTGTACCAATCCCACACGTACGTAGGGTCACCGCCCTTTCGCAGTCGAAGGTCTGCGAGGCAGTATTTGTTGTCCCAGCTACCGTTGGCAGAGTAGACAATGTGCAGCTGGCCGTTTGGGTCAACAATTGCCTCGGGGCCTTCATTGATGAGTGGGCTGTCGCCCTGCTCCCAGGACTCTCTTGGTTGCGAGATGATGTACCGCTGGCCGATGGGCTGAGAAGGACTGTCCATGCGGCAGATGTACAGGTTCTGTTCTGAGTTCTCCGCCTCGCTCTTCCAGCCGGACCAAACGAAGTATCCGAGGCCTTCAAAAACGAAGAAGGTTCCGTCGATAGCCCATTGGTCATCTGGAAGGGCAAGCTTCGTCTCGACCGAGTACTCCCCAAGAGGCGAGTCGGCACTAATCACGTACATGCGATGGGCAGCGTCTACTCCGGCAGAGAAGTGGATGTAGGTCCGGCCGAGATCAGTTGTGATCTCGGGGGCCCAGATAGCGCCCAGGTTTTTCGTGTCGGACCAGACTAGCTCGCGTCGAACATCGGACGCTCCAAGGCCTTCGAGTGAAGATGCAGCTCGAACGTAGATGCCACCTGCAGATTCAGCCGAGTAGTAGGTATCCCCGATCTTCATCACGGTTGGATCCGCGCCATCTCTGATTTTGACTGCTGAGGTACAATCGGCAAAGAGAAGAACAGCGCAGAGCGCCAGAAACACAGCGGCAGATTGCCGCTGGAATGAGATTGCAAGTAAATTCAACATGATTAGGTTCGTGTCGGTGATGTCCAATGTACTACGTTCTCATCATTTCTAGTTGCACAGGGCGTTACTTTATACCAAAGTCTCATTCGGCCCGCCTAGCATATCCCTGGGATTTTACTTGATGTCTTGAGGAACCTCATTCGTTCATACCACCCACTCATTGCTCCTTCTCGGAATACAGATCCTGAATAACGTCACCACGTACACTTGCAGTCGATAGGCGGCCGACAAGGCATCTTGGCATAAGCAGAGCAGCGTGGGCTGGCTGCGCCTTCATTGGCGAGATGGGCAAGTTTTAGGTGATTTTCGTACGTCGCACATTTAGAAAATCACTGTCATTCGAAGGACTTTCCAAATAACGAGAGAGAAACAGACGTCATTGTCTTGACTAAGAAGTCTTATTCGATGTCGGCAAATGCGATGGGGGCTCAGAAGCTGAAGGCCATGTGATCCTCCAATGGTGGCGATGATGCTGCAAGTCACATCCGCAATTGTCAGCCCGCAGGCATAGCGTGCTTTCGCAGCCACTCCCGCGGCGTTTGACAACTAGCAGCTTAGTCTTGACGCAGGACGAGAAATATCAGCCAATGTTGTTGGAATGCAAGACTTGGCTCTGAACACCCTAGGGAGAGAGGGTGTTGTGACCGGCAAGCAAGGTACGGCCACGTCTTACTCAGCCCTGTGGGCGAGGAGGGCTTCTGAGGAGACTTACTGTATCAGGCAGCTTCGTAAGGAGGACATCGCGGCTCTTCGAGTGCCGAGCCTCGGGCGTTACGTTTGGTTTGGCGGTTTATGTGACTGATGAATTTGGTAGCGACATGTCTAGGTGCCTAACATCGCGAAATCATCCCTTTCGAGTGTCAAGTTTCGGTTACGCATTAGCACTGGTCCTCTCGGACTTTTTAAGAGTCGGCATGTCGATCTTTATCCCTAAATGCCGAATTTGCACCCAATAGGCAATTCGCCTCACCGGGACCTCCCGCCAGCCTCAACCGCGAGTTTTGTTCCGATAGACCTTGGCGTCAACCTAAGAAAAACGTCTCACTTGATACGGGCTGCGGCTGGTAAGCTCGGACTCATATTTCTGCTCTCGTCATCAACATCGAATAATTGTGGTACCTGGACGCAGAGAATACTACTACTAGACGAGACCTTTGCCTACATGTACTTCTGTGGCCGGCTATAGTTGTAGTGTCCGGATACTAGTCCATTCAATTGGTGCACATCTGTAGGTTGGAAACGAGAGCATTGAACTGACCCCAGTCGTCGTCCCTAGTACCACATTGTATGGGAATGGTGAAGGAAGTCATTGTTGAGTACTTATTGCAATGTCTTCAAGTAAGCGAAGCTGTGCCTCTTTGGGGCGCAAAAGTGGAACTTGAAGGATTGCTCCCTCGTGAGACAATGAGGAGGTGGTAAGACAGTGCCAACTCGCGCCACCTCGTCAAGTGCATGAATACTCCAGTAAACTCCGCTAAGATGTAAACCGAAGATAGGTGCTGGCGGTTTGCTCTCCAATGCAATGCCGGAAAGCAACGTTGTTGCGCAGTATTGCGGAAGACTAAGAACGAGCAGGTGTTCTTGTTATTCCCGGCTTATAATTCACAGATTTTGGAAGCGGGGGACTGCGGGCTATGGTACTTAACGTTAGGACAATCTCTACTGCGAAGACTCACTAGACTCCACAAGGGCTGGAATAACGTGGATATAAGCAGCCCTGGCTCGGCGACTAAGTCCTGCTCCACGACCTTCGGATATCTCGGCCCCAGAGTTCGGACTCACTTTTTCGTTGATCAGCCATGGATCCATATGCCAATTGAGTGGGCTGCGGCGGTTTGCTGTAGGCTGAGTGTGAACGATTGCGGATGTTGTCATGCTGATCCCCGATGTTGTCACTTTTCATACCCACATTTGCTACTTCCATCCCTTTCTTCAATTCCAACAGCCAGCCTGCATGGTATATTGGTAGGAATACCGAAAGGAACCGGAAAACGCCAGGTGGTGAAACTCGGAGCAATCCTCCGCACAGCTTGTCTAACCATTAACTTTGCGAAAGCGCTCATCAAGCTCGGGCGAAAGGTCCACCGATCAACATGAGAAGATCTTCACATAACCCCCATACGGCTGAGACTAACCATTCCCACAAGCTTCATCCAATGACGAGTTGAGGCTATGCCACGGTGAATGAGGAACCGAACAGGCCAATAGGGATTACTTGAGCGCGCTTCCGTATAGTTGGGGAATTGAGACACACGGAATAGTATCAGATGTTGAAGGGGGAGTTTGTAAGGTAACACGAGTAGAGTAGGCAGGCAAGAACGCAATGGGAGAAACTGCTTGCGAACGTGTTGCTGAGAAACGTTCTCAATAATACATCAAGGCGGAATGTACGAGGACAAAAAAGTATAAGAAGGTGAAGAAGCCACTTGCAATTCTAACTTCCATCTCCAGCTCACTCACAACATCTACAACATCATCCACAACACCGACATCACATTTCCTCTGCAACTATTACCTATTCACACTCTACTCAACCCATCAAAATGCAGTTCTTCACCATCCCCGTCCTTGCCATCTTCGCCGCCGGCGCCATCGCCATGCCTAACGGCTGGGTCGAGACTCGTGATCTCGAAGCTCGTGTCGACTGCGGCCAGATTCTCCCTGCCTGCAACGGCGGCAAGGTCGTTGGACAGACCAACTGCCGCTGCAGTGGCCAAATCTCTGCCTGCGACCTCTGGACCTGCCCTGGTGGAGCCCCCAACGCCGTAAGTATTCTGCTTGTTTTGCATAATACTCACGAAACAATGACTAATTAATAACCTTGATACACAGATGGTCTGTGGTCAGGAGGGCAGCGGATGTGTGTGGATCTAAGCTCTGCTCGTATCAATTTGGCGATGACAGCAGCATTCTCACAGCCAATGCCTGTCCCGAATATGTCTTAAGGGCAATGTCGGGGAATCTCGGGGGTCAGGCTATGGGAAGGAACCCTTCTTTTTTTTCTTTTTCATGTTTCCACTTCTTCATGTTTGCATGGTTCGTACCTCATGCACTCGTACACAGTCGTTCCTGTAAGATTTACAAATAAAATGCCGGGGCCCAGGCATGATTTGAAACAACAGCAATAAGACCTCCTAGCCAATGTGAGATGTTGTGACTCGTGAATATCATGGGCAAATGTCTTGGACTGGTGTTTGGACCTCCCAAGCTATTGTGTCTAGGTACATGTACGCTTGGTCAACCAAACATGTCAGCAAAAATTCCCGAAGACCTAGTAAACTGGCCAGTTTTCATGCTCAAGAAGTAATTAGATAGCCTCAATGCCATGTATAATATGCAGTCATAATAGATAATTATTGTTCAATATAAAAAGAATCTAGCAAGGCCCCTGGAACAATTGCAAGACTGAGAACTTAGATCAAGACAAGATCTTCTTCCGCAGCCCCATAGTCGTCGAATGGTGTCGTGAAGCCATCCTCTTCAATGTCGTCACTGAAGATGAAAACACCGATACGTCGCCAACGTACCAATTCTTGAGCATCCTTTGAGTCTACTGGTACGACCACAATACCTGCGTACTGATAAGTAAGATTCCAAGAGCCTGGAATATCCCCTCTTTGCTGTTGCCCCAGGCTATATGCATGTTCTGTGGCAGAATGATCCGTGCAGAATGCTTGTTCCACAGTCAGTATCATGCAGGCATCTTGAGGGAGCTGGTCTTCTTCCGTAAGAAGAGGGTCATCGTGTGCATATTTAAGGCATTTGGACCGAATCCATTGTTGACTTGCTTTCAGCCAGACATTCTTCATGCCCAACGTCCACTTGTAATCCCCCAAAGGCAGCACATACAGTAGCTTCAGAGCGTCTCTCCACTCGAGCGTGCAAGGAATTCGCTTTGCTCTGATTGTCAGGGTCATGCCAACAAATTTGTACAGTATTAAGTCGGGATTCGCCAAGCTGTCGGGATGATAATATGAGACTGTCTTCGCGTTGTATATCGAGAAATGTCGGTATGTTTGCATCGTTGTTCGGAATGGAAAATCAAGAATATCGTTTCCGAGAGCCGTTTTGTATGTTGGGATAGAGAACCAGGACCAACTTGGCGCTGGCTCTGACTCCTTTCTAACCCGTTCATAGTCCGTGACGTTGACCGGGACAGGGCTCACAGACCATAGCAGGTCATACTCAAGAAACTCCTTCCAGAGACCAGCCAGGTATGTGACGTTAGCCTTGGCTTGAATCGCGCGAGCGATGCCGGCAAAAGCGATCCCGCGGTCTGTCTCTTTGGTGAGGTTCCCTGCACGATAATCTCGAATCAGGAAAGCCCACTGCATTTCGCCGGTGGTGGTATCTGTTTCACCAATGGTGGCTTCCGAACTGCCAGTTTGACGTTGGAGCTCCCGACCGCCCCGCAAGAAATCGGTCAGGCGGGTGATTATGCGATAGAAATGCACTTTCGACCCAGAAAGTGTAGCCAGGGGCCCATAAAATTCGTCTTCAATCCCATTGCAGCACTCCCAAATGAGTCGATCCTGGCCGTAGTACACCGTCCGGGGACAAAGAAGTCGTTCTTGGAAGACCCATCCTCTCGAAAGTAGTGGCCACACTGACTTGTAGTGCGTAGGGAGCCAAGCAGGTCGTATGTACCCAGGCGTATGCTGTATCACTAGATCTTCGGGTGCTTTGGATGTTCTCAACCCAGACTTACAAGGCATAGGAGTGTGACAGGGCAAATGTGTCCTGGGATCTCGCAGATGATTGTTTGATGACTCCGACGCAGGGGGGAAGGTGTAGGAAATATTGCAACTAGATCGCCCATACACTGCTGCCATCTTGACGGCCTCTTTTTGCCAGTCTTCTTTTGAGTCTTGGATGATGCAGAGAGAGTCTATCCAAATGAATTGAAACCCTAATGCCCGTGTGATTTGAATGGCGTCAACATATTTCTTAGGTAGATCATGCATGGAAATACTAAGCATGAACGAATCGATAGTCGAAGCCAGCAGCTGTGGACATAAAGAAGGATCGGGTCCCCACATGTGACTGAGAGTTGTGTATTCTAGACCAGGTGTCATGGCTCCGACATCACATTCAAGACGCACGTTGTCTCCACTGACGTTTAGTAACCTTGAGGGTGCCTGATTTGTCGGAGAAACAACGCTCGGAAATTGGCGACAAGCAGAATGGTGCTCAGTACAACCCAGTTGCCACTTCTTGATCACTTCAAAATTGACGTTGTTGCGCGAAGAGAGCGAAACTGAGCTATGGCGAAGGGAGTCACTGTTCAATTCTGGACCTAAGGACTTCGTCAGCGACTGACCATTCGAGTCCCGACACTTAGACCATATACTCACTCGTACGTCGATGAATGTATAAGTAACTGGCTATTTCGCTGCGTAAGGCTGTAGTCTTCAACTTGATGTAGCCCTTGTCCGACCTACAGCTGGTCAGGAACGAAAGCGAACGGGTCAAAATTTGGGTGACTAACAAGTAAGGCAGGGGGACCACTGTCCACCAAGCTTTCCTTTTCCAGTCCGTTCCCTTTTGAACCTCAATAGCATACTCCTTCTCATCATCGCGGGCCTCGAGTATCACTGCTACTGGATTGCTGTAATCCATGGATCTTGCTGACCTTGTCGGATCCAACAAGTGCGCTGCAACGCGGTTCCACAAAAGTGCACATAAATGGCAACCGCTAGAGTAACCAACTTTCATTTCAAAAGGCGTTCCAACATGGGCAATCTCGGAGGCAAGGATCCTGATACGGCCCCGCCGCGCGAGAGTCCGGAGGAGGGGACTTGTGGTGGTAAACTTGGCGCAAGGGCTACATAGCTGGTGCAGGTGAATGACGGCGTTCTCCTCAGCAGAGTGCTCATATCGAAGCTCGGGTGCAAGCTTGAAATCACTGGCCGTGCCAGTCCGCGGAGAATCCATATCGGCCACGGAAGTGATTTCCACTTTGAGTCGAGAGGGTTCTGCAAATTATCAAAAGACTGCACCGCGTCGTTTTGGTATTCTAGCGTCAGGGTTCATTCCCGGCCGGACAGAATCAAGAGTTTGTCACTTTGTGTCCCCAGGTGGCTTAGACCATGTGATGTGATGCATTTGCTACGGCGTTCGCCCAAAATCATTAGTGCTTACGACAAGGGAAGGAAATACTTTTGCCCTTCTTCGCCAATCGTATTCTCCCGACCAATCGACTGAATACAAAAGATCTTTCCGCAGCGAATCTAAGCACAATTGCTCCCGCTTGTCGCCCGTAGGATCATGATCCACAAAACCGGCGCTCCACCCGGCTCAGGATCCACAGTCCGTGTCCGTATTCGTATCCTTTTGATATGGGAGACGCGCTCACATGCGACGCGTTGGACTCTGTGGGCAAGCGCTCAACATTGATCTTTACCGCATGTTTGGTTCCCAGAGCTGGAGACGCATGATGCTGTCGGATCTGGCCACCTCAATTTGAATCTCCGCACGATCAGATCCCCGGTCCAGTTGCTTGTTCAGCTGCAGAGTGGAGCTGCAGGGTCTCGCCCCTGAACTTGAATGGTTCGATGTTCATCAGATTCCCTCGGCACCTCCCATCTTATGTGCACTCAATGGTCCCAGTTCGCTGGAAACTCTCCACCGACCTGGCGGATCACCGTTGCGCCCCGGGGACCCTTAGCCTTCGCTGTGGGTTGTGGCCTCTACAGTGCGCTGAAATGCTGCGCGATCAGTAGCAGCAATGACGGATAGGGGAGTACGATGACATGATTTCGGGGGAGATGCAATTTTAACAGTGCCATTCTTGATACCCATGCAAATGAACCATCACCCCACGATCTCAAAATGTCACTCAGAGCGCCTTGTGACATCTTCGTTTGGCCAATGGAATTACAATTACTTCTATTTGTTTTATCGCTGTCTAAAGGAGAAGGAAATGCACGGTTCATGTCGCCATCAGATTGTTTCCTTTCAATCGCGTCGGGTCCACCTGATGGGTGATGGTTGAGGAGGGCGCGCGAACATAGAGGTGTTATCCGTAGGGGGCACAACGCCTTCTTTGCCATCCATGGTTGACAGTTTGAAGTTGCGGATGAGTGTACCAACAATGACACCCAAGTTGAGATACGCAAACTTCTCGCCAATGCAGCGATGCCTTCCAGCTCCGAAGGGGATGTAAGGGCTTCTGGTGCCCTTGTTGACGAGACCGTACCCGTAGTCAACGGCGTCGCCGGCATGTTCGACTTCTTGATGATCGTCCCAACGATGGGGGTTCCAGCTCTTGGCATCCGTGAAGAACTCGTTGCTCGTTGCTGTTACCATTGGTGAGGCCAGGAGCACTTGGTCGGTGCCGACGACGTACGGGGTGCCGGGGATGGCAAGGGGATTCTTGACTTTGCGAAGGATGGAGTGAATGGAGCCGTGAAGACGGAGGGTTTCCTTGACAACATTGTGCAGAAGGGGGAGCTTGTCCAGGTCCGAATACTGAAGTGGACTCAAGTTTTCCTTCTTGCCTTGAGCAAGGTTCTGTACCTGCTCCTCGTAGAGTTCTTCGGCGATCTTGGGGTGTGCCGCGAGACGAAGCATGATCCAACCGGCTGCCGAGGACGAAGAATGCTGACCTCCCATGAGAAGGGTAATCATCATGTGCGCGATCTCCTTGTCGGGAACCGGAGTGCCGTTCTTGTAGCTCGAGTTCATAAAGTTCGTGATCATATCGTCTTCAGTATCACCGTTCTTGCGACGTCTCTGGATAATGTCCTCATATATCGCTCGCATCTTCTCGTGGGCAGCGTCTCGGCGGCGGTTTCGGGGTAGAGGCAACCAAGGGAATAGGAAGTTGACCGGAGTGAAGCCCTGAAAGGAGACTGCTGTTAGAAAGGGACTGTCTTTTAAGGATGTGTGATTCTTACCATATCAAGGTCGTGGTACAGCTTGGCAAATTCAGCAGACAGCTTCTGTCGTACCTCTTTCCCCTGCAGGGAGCGCGCCGCCGTGAGAAGGGTAATCTCAGAGATGGCACCAGAAATATCGACAACCCCAGATGGACCCTTGAATGCGGGCGCAGTCTTGATGTAGTCCAAAACCTCCTTTTCAATCAAGGGCACATGTGACTCGAGTGCTTTTTGTGTCAGCCCGAATTTGACAAACTTCTTCTGTTCCATGAGCTTCGAGTTTGGGCAATCGTAGACGACGTCGCTTCCGAATACCGGAGTGGTGAGCGGGCCATAGATCTCCTCGGCGCTGATGTCTTGGAGCTTGCCGTTGAGGATGAAGTCGTTGCCCTCGATCCCAAGGAAGCATGTGATTTTCCTGCCGAAGAGGGTAAATGTGAAGACATCACCATACTTCACCAGGGTTAGCTAATGGGAATCAACGCCACCCGTGTTCTCCATCGAGAAACGTACCTTGGCGCGGTATTTCTCGAAGAAAGCCACAGGGTCCATGCCGTACGACACTGCATTTCCAACGTAGGGTATCCAATGGAAGACGGTTGGTGGTAATGATTTGTTCTGGAAGAAGAGCTGACGACAAATACTGATGATGATGGATACTGCCAGTCCAGCAAGGCCATATACCACTAGAGGGCTCATGGTCGACGGCCTCGGAAGTTCTATGCCTTCCATCATTTTGGCTTGGGCTCGAGAGTGGCGGCGGTGACTAGGGAGGGATTTGCAGGGGGAGCAGGGGCTGGTTAGAAGGAGAGCAAACGCGAGAACGGTCGGGGGACGGAACGCCTTTAAGTCTTCTTCTCATGTCATGGCTGCAAAAATGCGACATAGATCTCTATCGTACTACTTTGACTTATTGTTTGATTGCTTCTGGTCTGCTACGGTGTTGGTGAACCCATTGTGGTCTTCGTCTCGTATTCGTGTTGGGTACGTACCACTTTGGCCCCTGTTGGGCTGGACCAACACCGATGACGCCTCCAGACCGTGGAACGATTCTGGAATTGGACTTCGCAGTCCAAGACTCTTCTGGGAAGCTTCCCCATTCTAACGGGAAGCTGCGGTGTGCTTAAGCGACATTTGGATTGGACCATCGGCGCCGTGATCCTCTGTAACTGTCAAAACTTCACCCCTGGCAAGTTGCAGCCTTGATTGAAAGTGACGCCACTTGCCTCGAAACCCCTGATGGGCGGGCCTGTAAGATCAAGGGAATGGTCAGCATCACTTTCACGTGACCCGAATCTTGGGTCAGACACTACTGATTACTCTTATCCCATTAAGGGCGGAAAATGGCTTAAGCGTACTTTTTTTCGTGACTTTTAGCCACTTATAGGGGGTTAGAGTGATTCTAGAAATCTTTAAAACTCTCGCAATAATTAGCTACAAATTATCTAATAAAAAAAAAGCAAGATTCCTATATAAATTAACATAGTAATTATTTTTCTATCCTTTTTTTTTATTTACTAATTATAGTTAAATTTTTAATTAACTATAGAGGTAAAAAAGAAGTATTTCATAGCTTAGGCTATAATCTCCTTAATTAACTATATTAGTCTTTTTAGCCCTACTTAATAACTTTCTAGCTAATTAGACATACTAGATTTTAACTAGCATATTAATTAACCATAATAGGTTCTTCTTTATAACCTAACCTTAACTACTTTAGCTTTCTTCTTCTACCTACTCTAAATAATACCCTCCTTAACCTACCTCCTCTACCTAGCTATAACGATAATAATAAGGCCTCTAATAATAAACTAAACCTTATAGAAGAGGTTTCTAATAATAAAGATAATAATAAGCGCTTTTTTTTAGTATTTCTATTATTTCTATAGCTAATTTTTGCTTAGATTAGGATTTTTTACAGTTAACGCTAGCATTATAGCCTCTATTACAGCTAGCCTCATAGCTAGCCTTATAGCCCCCCCTAGGGTTAGTACTATTATATAAGAATAACTTTAGCCTTAAATTAACACTATAGTAGTAGCTAAAGGTATAACTTAATAGCAGCATACTAAAGGCATATTATTACCCCTCTTTTCGTAAGTTACACCCTACTAACTATACTATAATCCCTATACACCTTAATAGTAAGTTAGCCCTTAATATTTTCCTATACTTTATACCTAATAACCTTATTACTAACTAAGTAAAATAGACTAATTAGTAGTACCTCTAGTATTAAGTTAGTACTAATAGCCCTCACTAAAGGCCTAAGAGGAAGGTATTATACCTTAATAAGTTATTTATTACTAGCCCTATTAAGGTTTATATCTTTTTTACCTACTTAATCTACTTATTAATATACCTTACTACTTAGTAAGATTATTACTAATTAATAACACTATAAATACTACGCTATAATCTCACTAACTATATCTTAAAGGACTATTTCATTAGTCTCTATTATAACTTTCGCCTATAGGACCCTAATATACCTATACCCCCTATTAGTATCTAAAATAAGATTTAGCTATAGTTAGATAAGATCTAATAAGTATCTTTCTTACTCTAAAACCCTAGCTCTATTATTACTATCAATAAGTGTATAGTATACTTCTAGGGATACTCTTATAATATTATTAAGATACTAAAAAAGCCTATTAAAGTTAGGTTTAAGCTATAAGTAGCTACTTAGTAAGGCTACTTCCTAGCTTAAATCCCTTATATATATACTAATCTTATATTAACCTCTAAGATTATTACTACTAAAAAAAAACCCTTTAGCGTTAATATCCTACCTCTATACCCCCTACTAGTTTAAGTTATAGTAGAGGTAATATAAGGCTTCACACACCTTACTAATAAGCTAGTACCCTAGAAGCCTTATATACCTAAGCAGTTAGCGCCTACTTAAGCTGTTATTATCACCCTTATATAACACCTACTTATGCCTACCTTCCCCTAACTAGAGGGTATTACTACCTACTACTATATTTTCACTAACAACTTATTTACTACTATTAACCTTATTTAACACCTATATTAACTATAGCTACTTATTATTACTACTAATACTACCTAACTAAATTCTAGGATTATTAAGCCACTTAGGTAGCTATAAGCTAGTAATAAAAAGAGCAACTTTATACTATAAGGCTAGCTTTTTACCTACTTAACGCTAAATAGCCTTATCTACTAGTTTATATTTAAAGATAATATAGTTATACTTCTGATTAGTAGTATATTTAATAGCAGGGAAATTACTACTCTATAGGTATATAAATAACCTAATACTATATTAACTTCAATAAGAATAGTATATATCCCCTTTAAGATCCCTCCTATACTTATTAATATAGGGGACTCTCAGAGTTTATAGTTATCTAAAAAGGGTTATAAGCTAGCTATAATGCCTTATTAGCACCTACTAATGCTAAAGATTATTAATAACTATAACTATAGTATAAATAATATTAATATTAGTAACTAATATAAGGCTAATTATACTAATATTACTAAATAATATTACTATCATAATAGCTAGTAGCCTATAGCTTTTAATTACCTATTAAGTTAGTAAAGGTCTATAGGGCACTTCTAGCATTATATCTACTAACTATTTTATACTTATAGGGGTTATACTTATTAATACCTACTTACTCTATAAAGCCTTAAACCCTAAATATAAAAAGCCCTCTATAACCTTCTAATAAAAGCTCTATAAATAACTTATAGCTAAATTCAGATCTATAGCTATTAGAAAGCGTTACTCTAGAGGTATCTAAGTTATAGAGATAATCCTATATAACTATAGATAATATGAGAAAGAATAACATTACTAAGTATATATAAAGCGTTTTAGAAGGACTATATTAAGGTAGGTTAATAGAAATAGTAGCTAAGAATAGTATTATACGCACTAGGGCTATATTAAGTGCGACTAACCCCTCTACTATATAAGCAACTACTAAACAAAATAGTATAATAAGAACGCCTAAATATTAGCATTACTTACTAGATTTTTTGTATAGTAGAAAGGTATAGCTACCCCTATTAGTAATATACCTCATTTAAAGTCAGTTATAAGTCAAATTATACAATTAGTCAACTACCCCTACAGCTACTTCGAAGCCCTGGTTAAGCCATTTTCCGCCCTTAATGGGATAGTTGGCTGGGCTCAGGAGGGCTGGTATTCAAAACTCGGTTCTCGTCACTCCTTGTGCTGTCACTAAGCTCTCATCATTGGGTTCTTGTCACTACATTCAGCTATCGACGTTGCTGGGCCCTAACATGCTTTTGCTTGCTTTGGCATCGTCGATGCTCTGTCCGACCAACGTAATCCTCTTACGACATGAGCTCAATCTAATCAAAAAGTTGACAACCCGTATATTCCAAAAAAGCAATAAGGTGTTCCTGATTCCTTGGAAGGACGCCTTTGACAACTTGAAGCCGTCAAATATTGTTCAAAGTGCGGGGTAGAGATGCAGTAAACGGCTGGGTTGGCGGGGATCTTTTCGTGGGGTCGCGCGGAGTAAATGAACTCAGATTCGAGGACTCCAATTCCTCCGATGGAGATCATCTCAGAGGCGGCGAATTTCGGGAAATCTCATGGCGAGATGATATTGAAACAGCTCTTCTCACCCTCGCTTTGCACCAGATCAAACCCCGTACAAACGCATTGATACCTTAGACGCCGGCAGCTACTGTACGCTATGAGCGATGAGGTTCTCTCAGCTTCATTTCTGTGCTTTGTCCTTCCTCACCCTGCTCTCCCATGCAACGGGTTGCAAAACCGATGACGACTGCAGTTTGAATGGAATTTGTTCCTGGGGAGGCTCATGCACCTGCGACCCAGGGTGGCGGTCAGCCGATTGCAGTGAATTGGACCTGCAGCCTGTGGAGCGATGGACGGGTTACAACCACACGAATGCAACTGGCGCAGACTTCTACAAGGAAGGCGCAGGCAACTCTTCATGGGGCGGACACATCATTCATGACCGCTTCGACAAGAGTCTGTTCCACCTAGTCACGTCCCAGATGTCGCACGGCTGTGGACTCTCGGGTTGGAGACCTTTCAGCACAGTAATCAGAGCCGAATCCCGCACCGGCCCTCGAGGTCCATACAAATACGCGCAAACGCTGTTCGGGACTTTCCATCATAACCCAACGACGATTTGGAGTCCAGCAGACGAGAAGTATTTGATTTACTTCATCGGAAAGGATTATGAAGTCGGCGATGTCTGTCGGTCACAAAAGTGGAACAATACTATTTCAGTCTCGAGTTCACCAGACTTGAAAGAGTGGACAGAGCCGATACCACAAGTTATTAATGTCACAAATCCAGCTCCTTGGCCCCTGTGGTCGCCGAAGAATCCCACAAAAGAAATCTTGCTGGCAGTCGAAAAGAATAACATCTACCATGCGGATAACTTTTCTGCTCCGCATGAATTGGTAGTGGAGCCCCGCAACACGGAGCGAAGCGAGGATCCGTTCCTCTGGAGAGACAAGCGCGGGCATTGGCACATCCTCGTGCATCACATGATCGACATCGCTGAGGGAAGAAAAGGGCCGCATGTTGGCGCGCATGCCTTTGCACGGAAATGGGAAGGCCCGTGGACTTACAACAACAACACTCTGGCATACAACACCACTGTCGAGTTTACTGACGGAGAGAAGCTCGATTACTACAGGCGAGAGAGACCGAAGCTGTACTTCAGTGAAGACGGGAATATGACCCCACTCTACTTGCTCAATGGAGTTCAAGAGTTTAACAAGTCTGGGAGCTATACGCTGATCCAGCCGATTGGAATGGGGGCTGCGGTGTATGAAAAGCAGCTCGGATTCGGAGAGGTTGCTTGACTCGGCGGTTGGTGTGGCGGAATAGGTCACTGAGTCGTGCCCAGATTGTTCGACGCGATGCTTGCCAATACGTAGATGTCCTACTCACGAACTTGCACACGTCTGGTGTTCATGAGGAATCCAGAATTGCTCGCTATTCCATACACATGGCCGAAGAAACAAGAGATTCTCGTATTGACCTTGTTGTTGCCATATGCAATGCTCTATCAACGGTGCTTGGTAATATGGAGGACTCAAAGCATTTATCTATGAAGCAGCTTCTGGGGTCTGACTCCGACTTTTCCGCCCCAGCCCCAGCTTGTCATTATTTATAGCCATGATTTGAGAGCCGATGATTCCCCGGTTGCGCACAGAGGGTGATTTTCCACGTTATCTTGATGAAAGCCACGCGAAAACGACGCTTATTCAGCGGGTTAGGCCCCCTTGGCGCGGACAACTCGGATCACTTTGTGCTCCCAATTGAGCACTTGCCTATGCACTCGTTATGAATAAATAGCTTGCGGGCCAAAACCCAGCAAGGTAGACCAAAATGGGATTTAGAATCAGGCTTGTCAGTCTCGGAAAACGTTGGTTGTGACCCTGGACTGACTCAGTCGAGCTCACGGGCCCACCCCTCGCATTTTCGATTAGATGAAATTCCTCGGCTCGGTTCTGCAGCACGCAAACTTTCAGAGGCGAACCGCTCAAGCGAGCGAATAACCAGTGCGGAAACGTGGCTATGAGTGGATCTGGGGGAGATAGCTAAATTCAGCCTCAGGAGGTTTCCAAGTTTAAGCCTGTTATCGACGAGCTGGATGATTATCTGCAGGATCAATCACCAGATTGAGTGCCCCCTTGATGGCACGCTGGCTCCATCTGGATTCCCCAAACCCCTGCTTCCGGACCCGAGTAGTTTCCGAAATCCGTAAGGCTTAACTCGAAGTGTCATCTGATGACATTGACAGGCTTCTATTCTGCAGTGATCAACGCAAGGATGAACACCGGCTGTGATGTTGCAGACAAGTTTTAAAAGACAGGCTCTTCCCGGCTTCAACCCAACACTCGCAGCCTTATCTTCACTAGCTTTCACTCTCTCTTCAATTTTCACTTTCATTCGCCATCTTTCATCGATTTGAAGGAAGCAGGTCTTCTTAGTGATCGAGACTTCGCTTCTTTTCGTCCACTCATTTTTAGTAAGTACACATATGATGCTTTGACCTGAGGATCGCACTAGGACTCTGCTAACACAAAGTTTAGCGAGTCATTGTTCGAACCATCCACGATGCGATCCGACGTTCTCTTCACGATCTTCGCCCTGGCCAGTGGTGCTTTCAGTGCGCCTGCGAGAAGCAATCTGGGCCGTCGCGGGGAAGTCGGTCACGACGAGCTCAGTCCCAGCGCTCAGAAAGTCCAAGACAATCCCGCTGGCAAGGCGATTGAGAGATTCAACCCAACTCTGCACATTGCCCACGGATGCCAGCCTTATACCGCTGTCAATGACGCAGGTGACACGAGGTCGGTTTCATACCTAGCTTGGCATAGTTAATATACCGGACTAACATCAATGACAGCGGCGGGCTGAAGCCGACGGGCAGCTCCACCGGAGGTTGTAAGGATACTTCGAAGGGACAGACGTACGCCAGAGGAACGACGCTCAATGGCAAGTTTGCCATCATGTACGCTTGGTACTTCCCCAAAGACATGCCCAACGACGGAGTGCCTGTCGGATCCCACAGGCACGACTGGGAGAGCATTGTCGTCTGGCTGAACAACGCAAACCTCTCCAGCCCTGCTATCGTCGGCGGTGCAGCTTCTGGCCACGGCGATTTCAAGCTGTCCAACAACCCCCAGAGAGATGGCGACAGCGTCAAGGTGGAATACTTCACTCAGGACTTGATGAACCACGAGCTTCAGTTCACCGATACCACCGGCACCAAGTATCCTGTTCTCGACTGGGATGCCATGCCGGCACCAATGCAAACTGCGCTCAACAACACCAATTTCGGCTCGGCCAATGTGCCATTCAAGGATGAGAACTTTTTGAGGAATCTGTTGGAGGCTTCTATTTGAGAGCCATATGGGCTCAGCAACGAGGGATGAGGGACGGCATTTTATTCTCGGCCAATATTCATGATGTTCTACTCAGGCGAACTTATTCATTACTATGGATCACAATGGGGGTTAGAGACTCCAGAATTGACTTCAGTCTGAGACACTAGCGACGTAGCGAGCTCGTGATGGTCGAGATACGATGTAATCAGTGATAAATCAGACTGACAGAAATATAAGTTTCTAGGTATTCAAAACTGAGCTAGATTAATGGAAAAGAGGAAACAAAGTCGACCATGACTCTGTACGACTACACATTGCGAGGTCCGTCTGCGGCAGCTGCCGCAGTAGACACTACCACTGGATCGACGGTTTTACCGGGCGAATCGACGGACGAGTTGTCAGAGTCGATCTTTCTGTGGTCCACGGGGCGCTCAGGCACCAGGAAGACCGCCCAGGAGGTCGCTGGAACGCAGATAACGAACATGACGAAGGCAACAACCAAGTTGACCATGGGAGAAACCTTGACCGCGCCAATTCCAAACGCCAAGCACGAGCCAATGGACTCGAACGATCTGACGAGACCAACGCCAAGAGTCAACGTCTCAATGTCATCGAAGAAGGTGCCCATGATCCAATAGACAAACATGTAGTGAGACTCGTTCATGAAGCTAGTATCTTGGTTAGCATGTATTTCCCCAAGCATCCAGAGAACAATCGAGACTTACCGGAAGAGAACGTTGACAGCGAAGCCGCGTCCGAAGCCAGGCGAAGCCCAGTCCAAGGTCACCTTTGGGACGGTGTCCTCGTACAACTTTTCATTGGCCGTCTGCCAGGCAAAGAGCGCCAGCATGATGACAGAGAAGATCGCCCAGGTGATCTTGGCAAGCTGAGGACGGCTGAAGCACTTGAGGTCGTAGAACCATCCCCAGAATATGTTTGCAGCCGACGCAGCAATGCCAGAAGTCAAAGCACCGAGAGTTCTGGCGCGAACGGAGAAGTACTTGGTGAGATAGATGCCCTGGTAGGTGCTGTTCCAGTTGAAACCAATGAGAATAGGGATGAGAAGGAAGAATTCCTTCTTCTTCATCAAGCCCCACCACTTGCGGAACTCTCCCATGACTGCCTTCTTCTGGGCTGGGTCGGCAACCCGTCGTCCATCGCGGTGGATGACCTTTTCCGGGGGTGATACGAGCAAGGCGAGGGGAAATCCAAGACACTGGAGCGCAATCAGGACAAGGTAGGTCGAGTATCCGACCTTTCCCCGCTGGCCGTTCTTGGAGTTCAGTGAGAGTTGGATCGACGCGCCGATGAGCTGCCCCAGCTCACGGAGACCAAGCCAGATGCCGGCTATATGACAGTCAGCAGCTATATCACATCTTCGAAACAACAAATACTCACTGAATTTCCCTCGATCCTTGATATCGGCGTATCCAAGCGCCATTGCACCTTCTGCCGCCCATAAAGCTGAGGCTCCCACGCCACCTTAATTATAAAGCGACTGTTAGCTATTTATATAGTTAGGGGAGTATATAGTGAAAAACCCACAGGTTGCACCTCCAACTAAGACGAACCACTCAACACCGTAACGGTTGTTGACATACATTGATGCCGAGTAAGGCGCGTAGCCAAGAGTACCGATGATTAGAACATTCTTGAGGCCAATCTTGTTGGCTAGGATGGCAAAGATAGAGCAGCCAAACACCATAATGCCGAATGTGAGCGCATTGGAGCCGTTGACCAGGTATGGCTCTTGTTGACCTCCAGCGCCAGTGCCTAGATAGTATCGTCAGTGGATGATCATACCCAACATACCCAAATTTGAAGCGTCCACCTACTATTTAGAGCGTTCCAGATACCGGGCTGAGTGAACGAGATCAGACCAACGAGGATGACGTTGAATAACGGGCTGCGGTACCAACGGGTGAACCGCGACATGGGTTTCGTAGGCTGAACATCCTGAACCTCGTGATCGCCCTCCTCAGGCTGCTTCGCAAGATCGGTCGACATGGCGATTCAGCTCCTTCGTCCCGACGCAGCGGATGAGTTCATGCAGGTGCGGGAAACGGGGGCACATGAAAGTGGCCCGGATAACTCTTATTTATTCCACCCTACAACACCCAAATGATTTTCCGGCATGCACTCAATTTTCACTCATGAGTCCCCGAAACCAAGGGTTTGGACGGCCAACGTCCGCGCTGTAGCACCCCATCTAATTTTTTCTCCGCATCGGGCCCCGCTCCCCATTAGATACCGGCTCGGTGCGGGATTGGTCGCCAGCGCTTCGGGATGCCTCTGAAAGGTTTGGTTTGCGTGACGTTATTGGAAATCGATATGAGACAATCCTGGGCGGCGCGCCTGGCCAGTGTCTTCCATCCCTGAAGGAGACCGCGGTGTTGGGCCGGCGGCGTGGGTGACCGGCGGGCTTTGGGTGGAAAACGCTTAAAAAAACGTGGAATTGATGGGGTCGGCTTGGGGCCGACATCACGACGTGCTTACAAGGGTGCGATGGCGACATCAACAAAGCGGATGGCGGACCCCACAGCTCTTCTTTTGCCGGGACTAGTCCGCATATGTCGGGAGGAAGATTCAAGCTGTCATAGCGGCCTGTGATGATAAAAAAGGAAGCGCGGGAGGTGCTCTCTGAGTTTATTTTAACATCATTGATGTCCAAATATGGCAGCCCGACAGCAGGAGTCCTCAGTATGGAGTATGTGAACGTGATCCTCCGGCCGGTCTTGTCCGGCCCCATAGGCAGCGTCCGGCTCCGCTACGGTACCTCATGCTCCTTGGCTACAGCCGAGCCGAGTACCCACATAACGGAACTCGTCGCCGAGATTGAAGGGTCTTTGCTTTGAAAAGCTCATGGAGCGGTTTACTTTGTTAAACCTCATCCCAAGAACGCCGCAAAAGTCGCGGCTGAACTTGGGACATTGCGGATCATTTAAAACCAACAGCAACCCATTCACACA